CCCCCCCCCCCCCCCCCCCCCCCCACCAATGGAAGCTGATGAATATAGATATACAGTACAGAGAAAATTTCAGTAAAACCACTCCCAGTTAATATCTCTGGTCAAAATATAATGATGGCCATTCACTCAGGTGTTTTCAAAAGGGGATTTAAGTGTACTTTACTTTTATATGAACTTTAATTTTATTAATGTTGTTTTAGTTTATATTTAAACATCTTTATTGCAAGCTGCCTTGATGATCAAATACAGAAAAGTAGGGCATATATTCAGTAATTTAAAAAAAAATAGATATATAAATAAAGCAGAATCTGTGGGATGGGTCTATCAGCAGCTATGAGACAAAATAGCTAAATGGAATCAGCACCACTAGGAAGTCTCATTAATTATCTTAGTTGGAGCAGTATGGCCACATCATATTACTCAACTGATTTGTTTAAATTTTATACTCTTGCTGCAGCTCAAGCAAAAATATATGAATTTGGAAGCTGGCAACAAAAATATAGGCAACTAAAAGTAAATCAATAAGAACTTCACAGGTGGTTTGGTCCTTCTGGATCCCCCCTTCTTCCCATAGCGTGTTAGTAGATCCACAGTTCTGATTCAGTCCTCTGGTATGTTGGAACAATTCCTCACATTCTCAAGAAAGTCATCCCAATCCAGTTAGCTGAAGACTAAATAAAACTTCATATATTAGCTCACAAAATCGGGTACAGCAATGAGGGGTGGGGGTACTTTAGAGGTCCTCCTCCTATGCATGCAGCCACCAGTACTATGGGCATTATGGCTCATTGGAATATGGTGTTGCTTTGGGAAGCAGCTTCCAAAGCATAATTTGCACAACCCTTTATCAAAACAAAACACCCTTTCAAAGCTTCGCACTAGGCATATGCAAAAGCCTAATGATTATAGGTCTGAAGCAAAGCAAAAAAGGAATCATTATCAGTTATTATCAATCATCATTTTTATCATCACAACCCATTTCAGATGGTGAAAACCAGAAAACCAATTTTCATATCAGATCAGGTAACAAGAGGGCTACAGGACTTGGTTCCCTCTGAGAGGCACCAGGGTCTAGGAATTCCAAAGCAGCTGGAAGGAAATCACTGAAAAATTTGGACAATCAGTGAAAATCAAGAAATCATGAAATGCTATTATGAGTCAAATCCACTGACTTGTGCTTTCCAGAAATGAATGTATGAAATTTGAAAACAAAAATTCTGGAATCAAATATCACTGACTTACAGATGTGCTTCAGACTCAGAAAAAAGTCTTTACAATCATTGAGCTTAATGAATCGGAAAAGCACTAGAAGAACAGATCAACATAAACTTCCATTAGGATGCAGCCAGTGAAAAATGTGAGCAGTCAATTCAAAATAATGAAACAAAGTTATAATTGTCTGAGTATCAACAATGATACTTAGAGAAAATATTTTGGAATGCATGTGAAAAACTGTAAGATAAAGATTAACTCCTTTGAAATCTAAATGAAATTTAAACTTTAAACTTAAATTTAAATTTAAACTTCAAAGAAAATTGAATGTTATGAAAGTAGGATCAAACAATTCCAGTAAATTAGGCAATTTCAAATAAATCAACATCATTTGTTCAGAGCTTAACATCCTACTTTCATAACATTCAATTTTCTTTGAAGTTTAAATTTAAATTTAAACTTCAAAGAAAATTGAATGTTATGAAAGTAGGATCAAACAATTCCAGTAAATTAGGCAATTTCAAATAAATCAACATCATTTGTTCAGAGCTTAACCAAAATCACAAAATTCTGCATGATACAAACACCAATTATGACAAAAACAATCAATGACTAATCAGCTCATGTATAGTCTTGCAAAAGTAGAATAAAATAAAAACAAAAACAATAGAACTGGATTACACATTGAAAGCAAGCTGCTAAACTAAAAATAAGATGCCAAAGAGGAAAATTGAATTGGAAAATAAAATTAATCAGTTTTGAAAAGATATTAGCAATCTACAAACTTTAAAACAATAGAAACTGAAAAATGAGAAAATAAAAACAAATTTGAAAAAAGTAATACAACCGGGACTGCAAAATAATTGAAGAAGTCATGGAAGAATTAAAACAGAGTGTGGC